TTTTTTTTTTTGATTTTTCAATTAATATTCTATAATTTTTAAATATTATTCTTCTAAAAAGAATAATAATATGTAATTTTTTTAAGTTTATTAAATTTTTAAAGGCTTATTTGCTTTTCTCATTTTATATTGTTTTTCTTTTTGAATGTTATTTTTTAGTTTTTAGTGATTTAGAAGGGCAAATATGTTATTTATTCTATTTAGTATTTAAAAAAAATTATTTCTTTCTTTTATTTTTAATCAAATTTTTTAATTTAAGTTTTATATTTTTTGTTTACAAAAAACTTTTTTTTTAATTTTTCAATTTTTGATTTTTTTAATTTATGAGAATTGAAGTCGGTTTTCTGCTTTGCTTAAAAATTACTTGTATTTATTTTTTTTATTATTTTTTTATTATATTTTAAAAATAAAAATATTTTGTTTAATTTTATCTGATTTTTCAAAACTTCTTTAAATTTATTTTTTCCTTTTCATAAAAAGAAACATATTTTTTTATTTAATTTAATTTTTTGGAGCTTTTTTACATTTTTTTCGTTTTTTAATTAATATTTTGTTGATTTATTTTTTATCTGTGTCTGCAAACCAAGCTTGACAAGGCATGACGAAAATTAGTTCCAAAATAAATCATCTTACCACCTTGTCAGAAAAATCAACCAATAAATATTTTGTTCTAATTAATTATGTTTTTTCCTTTTTATCTAAATTTTCAGACTTCACTGTTTTAAAAATTAACACTAATTTTTCCGAAATCTGTTTTATAAATTTTCTCTTTTGTTAAATTTAAATTTTTTGTTTTTAATTATGTTTTATTTATTTTTAGAATGCATATTAGAGTGGTCCAAAAAAATTAAGTTGGAATTTTAATGCCGGAAAAATCCTGGACCACTTTAATGCATATGTTTACTATTTTAAAAATAAGAGGATAATTTTTTTGAATTCTTATAATTTTTAGCAACTTTATTTATTTATATATTTTAAATAAATAATGTTTTTTTTTCAATTTAATTTTCATATTTTATTGTTTTAAAAAGATTATTAATATTTTTTTTTTATTTTTAGTGGATAGCTGATTTTTTCTTTTTCCCAATTTGACAGTTTTATCTTTTTTAATCTTTAGATTTTATTATTTTAAAAATAAAAACATGTTTTTCATTGCATTTAATTTTTTAGTAACTCCTTTTTAATTTAGAAATTTTTTATTTATTCTTTAAATTTAGGTTTTTTTTTTAATTTCTATTTTTACAAACAATTTCCTTTATATTTTATTTAATTTTCGGGAATTCCTTTTTGTCTTCCATTTTTTAATAAAGTTTTTTTTCTAATTAATTTTTTTTAGTTATAGACTTTATTATATTAAAAAGAAACTATTTTTCAATTTCACTTAATTTCTAGGAACTTATTTAATAATTCTTTTTTCTTCTTAATATAATTTTCTTTAGATTTTGTTTTTAATTTAATTAATTTTTTGAAACTTATTTTGTTATTTAAATTTCTTTTTCTTTTTTATTTTAATTTTCTTTTAATGTTTAGCTTTTTTGTTTCAAAAGAAAAATTTATATCCTTTAAATTCATTTAATTTTAAGAAAGTTTGACAAGCAGAAAAGTGCTTAGCGGATATTTCAATAAGTCTTTTGAAAGGTAGAATAAAGCTTTCAAGCTAGTTACCATAATTGACAATTAATTGTCTTATGAAGGACTTTTGTCCCTCGAATGACTGTGGTGAGTTGAAAGACAGTTANTTGACAAGCAGAAAAGTGCTTAGCGGATATTTCAATAAGTCTTTTGAAAGACAGAATAAAGCTTTCAAGCTAGTTACCATAATTGACAATTAATTGTCTTATGAAGGACTTTTTTCCCTCGAATGACTGTGGTGAGTTGAAAGACAGTTGCCATAATTGCCCTGTAAGTCTTCATATAAAGACTTCTACGGTGCACTGTTTAATTGGCTGTAGGATAAGTAGGAAAAAGCAATTCGAATATTTAGTATGTGTAGTTAATGTTTTACTTACTTCAACTCTTTAGCAAAAAAAAATTATCACGATACCTTAATTAAGATTGTACAGCCGGACTTTGTATGACCGTTAAAGATTTAGATGTCAATTATGCAATATAGTGAAAAATACTAAGCTATGAGTAATATGCGTTATATGAATGAGCGAGTAGAATATGAAAATATGTGAATTTATTGCATTAGCTTTGTGTGAAAAATGATGAATGTGATTTAAAATAATTTGAAAAATCAAAGTGCTAATACTCATGTTTCAATATGCTTCATAGGAGAACTCTGTGAATATGCAAGGTGAAGTGAAAAGAAGCGGTTTTAAAATGAGCAAACTATCTACTTGTTGTACAAGTTATGTATTGTGAAACATTCAATTGAGGAACTCTTTAACTACAAGCGCAAATACATGATTTTTTTCAACTGTCTTGCTATCTTTGTTCTTAACATTTTCCACTTTATTTTTTAAATTTTTCTTAACAGATGACAGGCAAACCTTTTTTTACAACTTCAAACTCTTTGCTCTAAAGCAGTCATTTACCGTTTCGTGACACATTTCTCTCACTTTGACTTCAAAACTTCTCCGATATACTGTAGATGCGTTTCACACTCACGCACTTGCGTCTCAAACGTTCACATTCGATTTCCCGAAAGTCCGCATGCGACGACGAACACGAATTTGATAGACCGAATTCACGTTCTTCGCCTAGCCCAGGATCACTGTCCTCACCGCACGAGGCTAGCGACGCGGAACCGGCCGATGCGGATGCCGAGGAGTCAGATGACTCACCACTCGAGTCCGATTCACAATCCGATGAACTGGCGTCACTTTCGTGCCTACGCAACGCGCTCGCGGTAACGTTGGCAGCTGAGGCAATACGATTTCGTGGCTTCTCTCGTTCGATAGCACGTGCAGGGTTGGGTGGATCACGCGATGGACTGGCTATTACCGCCAAACCATGCACCTGCACACTTTCCACACCCCCTGTGCGTTTCTTTTCGTTGTTTGTTGCGTTTTTATTGTTTTTGTTTTTGCTATTATAATTATTCTTACTCAATATGGCGCGCTTTAAGTCTACTGCCAGAGGCGAAGCAGGTGTCGCCGTGGGCGGTAAGCAATCAAAGTGATTTACGCTCGCGACTGGCTGTTGGGTAATCACACCCGCAGGCACGCCCAGCACCGAAGCTGTTTCGGGAAAAATGCGATTATCCGAATTGGAGGCACCAAATTTCGAGAAAAGTGAACGCGCCGAATGTTTGTTCTTCTGCTGCTGCTGTTGCAGGAAGTAGTAGTCGCGCGGCAGCGATGAGGTAGCGTACAACTCTTGTGACTCGTAGACGCTACGATAGGCGGGCCGAAAGGCAGCACCACCACTGCTGCCGACACTACCAACGCTTGCGCTAGCCGCGCTTAAGCTGCCACTACCAGCCGCTGAACCAAAAGTGCTACCCAAACCGCTGCTGTGGAGCGCTGGCGTGCTAGCTGAGTTATCGCTATTGCTACGTTCACTGCGCACGCTACTGCTGCTACGTAGCTGTTCGAGCTGTTCGCGTTGTTGTTGTGCGCGCAGCTGTTCACTTATGATGCTCGCTGAGGATTCGCTGGGCGAGAGTGAAATGTTGGAGGTGGCAGCCAACAGTTGGGCGCCCAAGAGCGGCGTTAAATTGGCGATGAACTGCTCTTGTTGCTGCTGCTGTCGCTGCTCGTCCAGTTGGCGGCGATACGCTTCGATTTGATCGGTTGAATTGGGTGATGTACTATGCATGCATCCTTGAAAGAAATCCAGTGCTTCGTATAGAATGAAACATAGCCCAAGGACAATGAATGTCTCCATCATAATAATGTGGTGGCCAACAGCGGCATTTTACGCCACAAGCCACAGCTGATCGACTCACGTACGCGCGCACACACACACACAAGCGACTACAAACAAGCACAGAGGCAATGGTTCAGAACCAAGCGACCGAAACCAATCGCTAATTGTTTTTTTTTTTTTTTTGAATTGTTGGCCACGAAAACAAATTGCACTCGAGGCAGCACTAACGCGTAGGCGTTTTCGATGAATTGCGATTTTTATTGAATTTATTTATTTTTTTTTAGTAGCTTGTTACTCAAATGTTTTATCTTTCGTTAAAATCTTTTTTTGTTCTATTTTGTGTGTATCAAAGCATTTTGTGCTGTTTCACTATATAATTTTGCTGCTGAAAACTCAAGCCTAAAAGTATACAACAAGAAGCAATTGCTTTAATTGCACTGTGTTTTTTGTGCAGCGCATTGCGAACACGTGTGAAAATTTGCCAAAAAATTTGCGTAAACAAATTATAAATTAAAGCAATCAACTTAAAAGTTTACAAACTCATAACGTGAGCGATTGCAAAAACAAATTGAGAAAGTTTATGAATACTTACCTATTTTTAGGCGCTTGCTTAAGATCCAAATGGTATATCAGACATTTTTTGTTGTTTGTGTTTATATACGATATTAAATTTACGCAGGACTTGTGCTTTCATTTGTTTTTGAAATCCTGCACTTGTTAATCGTATTACGTATTTTTGTAAAAAAAAAAATATTTGTAGTGTATGTGCATCAACGGATTATTTTCCTTTCAGCGTCAACTTAATTTGAGTCTCAAGAGTGACAAAGAAGAACAGCAATTGAGAAAGCAGCGCCTATGTACCAGTATGTATATTTTCAAATGAATACTTTGGGACAAAATTAATTCGTTACCTGCTTTGTTTGCAGCGGTGGAATACTTGAAATATTTTTTTTTTATTAATTGACTTATAAGTGTAAAACCGATATAATCGCATTTGAAATCAGAAAAAGATAAAGGCTTTATATTCTGGAATACATAAAATTTAAAGAAAGAAATCTCGCTGAAATAATTTAAGAATTTGGAAATGGAAAAATAAAGTCATCCCAAATTATTGCATAAAACAATACACTACGTGATGCTCCCAGATGATTTCAGTGTTCTAGCTAGCTTCTTAGTTATTGTGATTGATTTTCGGTAAAATAATTAAAAAAAACTGTGTGTGGATACTTAAGGGCCGCGCACACAAAGCGCTTACAGCTGAAATTTAAGAGGATCCTATAAGCTAGCTTATAAGCGCTCAGTAGGCGAAAAATGCTTAAATGTAAGTGCATCCCAGGAGCTAATAAATATCTATCAGCTGCGGTAAAAAAATTACGTAATATTTATTTATAATTATTTTTATTTTTCATGCCGAACCTTAGTCTTATATTACAATCGTTTATCACATTGAACAGCTTCAAAAACTAATTCAATTACCTTATATCTATCTACCTTTGGCAAATGGTAATGACAATGTTGAGTAATGGTAATGGTAAAAGTAATGGCAATGCTTGACGGAAATGGTAAATAGTAAACGGTAATAGTAGATGGGATTGGTAATGATAATGGTAATTGTGATGTTAGAGGGTAAATGTTAAATGGTGAATGGTAATGGTAGTGATAAATGATAATGGTAATGATAAATGGTAATGGTAGTGGTAATGATAATATATATGATTATGGTTACGAGATGGGTAAAGATAATAGCAATAGCAATGGATATTAAATTAAATTATACCTATTATCGGTAATGGTATTGGTAATGGTAATGGTAATGAAAATGGTAATGGCAATGGTGATGGTAATGGAAAAGCTAATGATAATGGTAATGTAAATGGTTATGGAAGTAATTGTAATGAAAGCTATGAAATTATAGCAACTATAAAAATAAAGCTACAAAAATAATTAGATGCAAAAACATAATTAAGATGAAGTAGCACTAAACTAACTAAAGGTGGCAGCCCCTTTTTGCCAAAATTTTGTTTTTGAAGCAGAATAACAGATAATGCGAAACTAGATCGATTTTACGTCTCTCCTGAACAATTTCAAAAAATGGACTTCGGACCTTTTCACCCTTGGGTAAGGATATTTATTCTTTGTTTTGAAAATTTGTAGTTCAATAACAGTTCACTAATTTACAGTTTAATTTAATTAATACAGAGAAAATAGTGTTGAATGTCGTTAGTAAGACAATCTTAACTCGATAAACGATTCTAACTTCGTACTAACTGAGCGCTATCCCAAAACTGAAAACTATCCCAACTCACATGCGCCTATTTTTTGTGTCTTAACTCCAAAGCTTAAGAGCTTAATGTACGATACAAAAAGTGCTCTCCTGCAAGGCCACCTTTTTATTGGGCTTCCGTCCAGATTCGATCTGCCTGTAAAGAAATTATTATATGGTACCGCCATTTATTACCGAAAACCGGCTCATATATAACAAACTTAACCCTCTTTTTAAACAAATTTTCCTTTGAGCGGTTTTTCTATTGTATACGTTTTTAAAGACCCCTAGAAGAATGCTCGAGTTCTGCTACCTAGCTGTTATTTTTATCTCACCCTAAAAGAATACTATACTTTTTGGAGAAACGAGTTGGAAGATTCGCACTCAAAATATGCCTCACGCGATTGGTTTTTATGATTCCCCGCCAAACGGTGAAAAAAGAGAATCAGATTTAAATTAAATTATCGAAGGGTCGATAACAAGTAAAAAGCAACTAACAAAGAGCGGAAATAAAATCAGGAAGAGTTAGATATCCTGGGAGTAAACTCTTACTACTCAATATATTCCAAAATTGCACTGAGTTGAGAAAGTTAAATCCACAGCGCAAATTTCGCAATTAAGCAAGAAAATATGCGATTACATCAATTTCGGTTACTTAAGCTAGTTGATTTTATTTTAATATATACGGAAATTAAATTGCCTATAACCAACCTCATAGAGCAAAAGGTTTAAGTAACTTTGCTGTAGAAAATCTAAGTATTTTCGCCCGCAGCTGTAGTCATTAATTTACTGCGGCGCAAGGCTTTTAAGGCAGTGAACGAAGAAAAAATTCCTATTAATTTATTTAGCCGCATATGTTTCCAAGTTATGTAACTTGAATTTCTTCCTTCTGGGCATCAATCTCAATCCAAATCAGAAGAAACCCAGAGAAATCCAATCAAAATTCATGACTTTGAAGGCTAAATAAATAAATTATTAGTAAAAGCGCGAAGGCGCAGCGTACCTTAAGGCGTTTCAGCCACCAAATCAGTTGAAGCGCGGCAACCACATTTATTTTTCCACCCACCGCAAGTAGGTATGCAGCCAAACAAACTTAATTATGTGTCAAAAACTGCGCGGCTGTCAAAAATCACTGCTTAATCGAGAAGTGCCAACGCCATTTGAACTTCTTGCGTTTAACGGCACACACTTTACGTATATGTATTGAAGTGCAAATGTACATACATTACTACTACACCTCACTCCAACTCTGGCAGTAAATTTGTTTGATAAACAAACTTTCCGTGTGTCAAGCAATTGCGAAATCGTAAAAGTGGCAAATGTGGCAAAGGGTGCTGTTAAATTCAGAACTCTTAATGTGTCTTCTGTTTTGTTTTCTTCGTTTTGTATGCACGTAATGCAAAGAAATTGCCGAATTAACAAATTACGCCGGAAAGTAGGCAAGCAAAATGGTAGGCTGTCGAAAGTTTGTCTTAATTTATGCACCTGTAGTTGACTTGGTTTTTGGTTTCGAAATTACATATGCTTACCTCAAACTACTACTCACTTCACTAACTACAATCTTCTCGCTAGAAATGAAATTAGCAGTTTCTCCTTTAACTTCAAGAGCAAAAAAAAATCTCACTCACAAGTATATAACTACTCTTAAAATTTTGCTACAATTTATTCCAAAGAGTTTAGATTTTACGCAAATTCCCTATTTTTTGTCTATGTGTGTGTGTTTACATTCATATGTGTAAAAGCACTTCAAATTCTTTTCCTAAACTCTGCTTCCCAATTAGCCAAGCAAATCGTAAGGGCAAATTTCAGATGAGTATTCAAACGGCACTTATGTTTAATTTTGGATTGTTATTTAAATGCATTTTACCTTTCGTTAAGTTTCAGATCAACTTTATTTCAATATGCTAATGAAGTGGCAACGCTGTTGCTTTTTCTTATCTATATGCTACAATCTTGGCCATTTAAGTGCCGATTTAATATATGTGTGATCTGATAATTAATTTTTGAAGTTAATCGACAATCCCTGCTTAAATAGGCCATCCGAAATAGGGTCTTAATGTTTATTTATTATATTCAAATTATATAAACACATCAGGGAAGCCAGCTTGTAGGGAATTCCCCGCATTGCATATCCAAAATCTTTCTAGAAAATTTAATTAAAATGCTTAACATTTTTACGATAATTTGTTGAATTTTTTTTTTAATATTGCCCAAAGTTTGAAAATTGGATACGGTTTTTGTTAAAAAATTCACTATAATTTATTTTCAAAAAATAACTAAAAAAAAAGATTTGGTGCAACTAAAATTTTTACGACCACTGTATGTTTGTAAATATTATATGCACATTTTTTTATGACTTTTTGTTAACTAACATTATAAAAGTTTGGTTTATGAATATATAGATGAATAACATTAGAAGAAAACAATAAACAGAAAGACCAGCAATATTTCAAATTTCATATTTTTTTGTAAATAAGGAGATATCTATGGGTGGGGAATTTGAAGAAATTTCAGGCAAAATCGGGGAATTTCAATGCTAAAATCGGGGAATTCTAAAAAAATTAGTTCGCTACCTTGAAACACATACACAAATACCTAATAAAGGAAACTTTCAATACTAAGTAATCAGTAAGGCTACGCAGCAAAATTTGTCTTAAGTGAGAGTTTTGGGCAAATTTTACTACCGCTTTGCGGTTTTAAACACACGCGCTCTTAATTTACATGCTACAGTAAGCCTTTATCGTCTTATGACCAGGCAGAAATTAAAGCAACGTCATTTTCAATGCAAGCGATAATAATGTTTGAAGCATCAGTGGTTGTTTTGAAAGCTAAAAATGTTGAAAGTTGCCGCGGATATGCGAGTCACTGGGTTTGTTCGAAAGATGATTAGTCCTTCTGTGTAGAAAGCAAAGTAATATATTAGGACCTTTTGAATAAATAGCATACAAATCAGACACAATGAGAATTGAAAACTGATATAATACTTTTTTTTTATTAATTCTAACTTTCATACATATCTAAGTAACGATGTCAGACAGAAAATCAAGTTAAATTATTATTTTTTTTTAATTTAAAAACTTAAGCTTTGGGAAATTAAGAACGTTATGCAGCTTATGGAATTAAAATAAGTCAACATTTTTTGCTTTCAACAAAGTACACTCTACTGTAGTTGAAAATTGCACTAATGTATTGTTGGTTATTGCATACTTTTAGGCGCACTAATTGATCATTCGTACATACGGTTTTTTTGTTTTTTTGTTGAGTAGCCTGATTTATTTTGGTATTTTATATTTTTTACTAAAACCATGTACCTGCATATGTTTAACTAATATTTTTTTTTATCAAGTTATGTATTTTCCATTTTGTTTTGCGAAAGAAGGTTTGTTGTGCAAA